TTATAGTATTACTATAGCATTTCACCTGAGCATTGCGAATCACGCGTATGGCCATGATAAGCGCTGAATGAATGACAGGCTTTCTGTTGTAACATCCCGCAAGGTAAATAAGGGTGACATCTAGTGGAGAAGACTAATGATAAGATTCACGTTAATCAGATCTTGTTTTAAATGTGCTGAAATAAATCCTGGAAAAGATCGATTCGCGGCTTTTGAGAATCGATATCAAATCGACGTCATTTTAAAAAACGAATAATCGAAAAATCTTTTTTTTTTGCCCAGCCCTGTTAATGACCCAGCTAGTTGAACGTCAGACATCTTTCTAGATCTGATTAAAAAAAGTTAAAAGGGTAAGTGTGTAATTTCATGTTAAAATACTACTAATACTAACACAATTAATTGCTAAAATACTTCTATCCTACTTCTGACGTATTGTGCTTTCTCCGATTTTAGATCTTAATAATCTATATTTGCGGAAAATGTAAAAATTATTTTAATAATAATACTACTGCGTTATCTAACAGCCTTCTATTTTCCATTTATAATTAAATGTAAAGTCATGTATAAAATTTAAAATCGTTTTTGCTTTTTTGCAGTTGACTTTAATAGTCCCACTCATAGTTTTAAAAGTAAAAATATGACATGATGTAATCTCTCAATTTTTATTCATTGTAATATATTTAATATTATACAATTATAAATATATTTATTTATAATTAAAATTATTATTATTATAAAATTATAATTTGCTGAAATAATGTTTATAAAAGATATATTTTCTGCTCACCAAGGCTGCATTTATTTGATAAAAATACAGTAATATTGTGAAATATTATTACAGTTGAAAATAACTGGTTTCTCCCAATAAATTTGACATTTGAAGTGTATTTAAGTGTAAGCTGCTGACTGATGCACACAGACTCATCACAGGCTGCTTTTGTAGTATAAGTTATAATTAAATGTTAAGTCATGTATGAAAAACAACAATTGGAGTCTGATTTTTTTTTTTTTAAATAAACGTCTCCAGTAAATTAATATGAATAATTGTATGTATTCTTAACTGTCTAAATTCAATTTAAATTCAATTTAAATCAATTTTTAAATCATTTTAGAATTTTAATTCCTTGCTTTTATTGTTGTGATTATTTTTATGATTATTTTAATTCCTTTTATCTAAAGCACTTTGAATTACCATTGTGTATGAAATGTGCCATGTTAATAAACCTGCCTTCCCTTGCCTTATTGAATTATATATGATTCTTATATTTCTATCCCATTTAAATAATAATTACAATACAACAATTATTTAAACTTAACACAGTGACATGGTTTCACTTTAAATAAGACTAAAATGCAGATAATATTACAAATGACCACAAATTTAAGGACAAAAAATACAAAATGGGTCTTTCTAATAAAGTCTGTATATGTTTATGGTCGTGTTCTGTTGTGATTTTGTTATTAATGTCAGGTGTTGGTCTGCAGTGAGTTTCTGTTGAGGCCTGTGGGAATGAGAGCAGGTGTGTTTGTCAGGACAGACCGCAGAGACACAGTCAAATGCAGTTATTGCATATTTTAAAGTGCTCATGTCATACGTTTGCTTAAAGGGGTCATATGATGCGATTTAAATTTTTCCTTTCTCTTTGAAGTGTTACAAGCTCTTGGTGCATAAAGAAGATCTGTAAAGTTGCAAAGACTAAAGTCTCAAATCCAAAGAGATATTCTTTAATATTATTATTTTTAAATATAAAAAATTCATTACTTTTATTATTTTATTTTATTAAGTTTTAGTAATTTTGTAATGTGCTTTTTCCATTGTTGTTGTTAATATTATTATTATTATTATTATTATTATTATTATTTAGCTTTAGTTTTTGAGCTTAAATGTATCTTTTTCAGTTAGTTCTAAATTTTTGTACTTTTTCATGTAATATATATATATATTAGTGCTGTCAAACAATTAATCGCATCCAAAATACGTTTTTGTTTACCTAATATGTGTGTATACTGTGTATATTTATTATGTACATATAGGGATGTAACGATTAACCGCGAGCCGGTTGAAAGTCGATTTAAATATGTTAGGATTCAAATCGGTTGAGATGCTAAACAAATCGCGATTGTAAGTAATATTGTTTATTATTAACTGTGTGCCCCATCCTTCTATGTATGTATAATATAGAAATGTATTATTATTTAATAATATTAATATAAAACTAATAATATAATTCTAATATAAAATTAATAAACTCTTTTGTTGAATTTGATTGCTTCCATTGTCCTCGTTTGTAAGTCGCTTTGGATAAAAGCGTCTGCTAAATGACTAAATGTAAATGTAATAATGATAGTGTTCATCTCTTTCAGGATCCGTCTGTCACGCAGGTGACCAGCTCTGGAATCGATCACATTGAAAGTTTCAGTCCATTTCCTGATGGCAACTCTGTGACGGTGAGTCGAGCACTCCTTCAGTGATTGTGTAAGATGAATATCTTGAGCAGAGTCATAATTGTACTCTGAACTCTGATGTAATGAAGCAGTAAGCTACTTGAGGCCATGAGCTCCGCTGGTTTTACCACGGTTAAACTCATTTGTTCCACTGTAAAACAGTTTTATACCTCAAGATACAACCCCAAGTAATGCTCCAGCAGCAATATGATACAAAATACCAGTGTTTTGCATTTTATCATGAAATAAATAAAATTTTATCACATCGTTAAAATCCCAGTAAATGCTGGTTTTTCCATCAGGGAAGCACCATCCCGGCCTCGAGCGGCCCGTCTCAGCCCGCCGTGCTGCAGCCGTCAGTGGAGCCCAGTCCAAAGGTCAGCGTCTCTCTCACACACACACACACACACACACACATGAATATACCAGTCTGATTTTAAAGGCTGTAACGGGCCGTGTCTGTCTGCGCAGGCCGTGGCTGCAGCTGCGCAGGGCAATCTGCTCAAACAGCAGGAGGAGCTGGAGAGGAAAGCAGCCGAGCTGGAGCGACGAGAACAAGAGCTGCAGAGCAGAGGAGCGCCGACAGGTAACACACACTATTGAATTTCGAATATTCATATTGCAAAAATGTTGCATTCGAATTTTAGGTGTGCGTCAGGCAGCCTTATCAGTGGCGCACGAGATGCGATGACGATGTA